GGCATTTTAAGACTTCTAGTAAAGGTTCAGCTGGAGAAGCATCCAGACTTTCCTTGGAGCTGCGTCTGCTGATGCCCTTTGTGGCCAAGAGACTTCAGAGGTACAGAAGTCACAAGGCTGTGGTTTCAGCATCTGACAGCAGCAGAGGAAGTTGTAGTAAGAGCTGACATAGACTAAGAGGATGCTGAGAGATAATGTGAAGGTGCATGGTTGGGCTGTGCTCATAGCTGGAGAAGTTTCCTGACATCCAGGAGCACTCATAGAAAGGGAGTGTAAAGCATCGTAGGGCTCTGTCACTTCTCTGCTTTTTATTTCTTCCAGCACATGTTTCATCTCAGATTGTTGGAAAGGATGAACTAGGGATTACTTATGAGTGCTTGCTTTCCATATAATCCTTAATGTGGGGAACTCTAAGCCTACAAGGATTGATTTTAATTTCCTCCAAAAAGTTGCTCCTGGCAGAATCTGATAAAGCCATTTTTAGTCTAATTCTTCCCAGCCCTGCCCTTGGTGAGCTATCGGAGCATACCTATCTTTGGGAATGCACTTGGTGATCACCACAGCTTGCATTCATTATCTCTTTGATAATACCTCCCAAATCGTCGGCTGATGCACAGTGGGCCTGAAAAGTGGTCTGACAGCATTTTCCCAGGCTTTTCACTTCTGGGGGAGAGTGTTCCCAGGTTTTGTTGGGGATATGCCTTTCTGCCCTGTGTTGAGCTGCCCCTTCGATGCACAAAGGGTGCAAGAGGCAGAGTTGTTCCATTTCTTCTTGGCTGCTCTGTGCTGCCTCTTTCTTTTCACCAAGATTTGCTCATTTGTGCCTAGGGCTGTTGAGTCCTTTCAGTGCCAGACTGACCTCGCTCCCAGCCCTCAGCCTGGCAGCAGCACAGCCTCAGCATGAGCTCCCAGTGCAGAAGAGCAGGTCATGCTCTCCCACAAGAGGGTCAGAACCTGGACCCAACCAGCTAGAAATTTTGTACAAATTTTTAACAGCTTTTAGGCTACATATTCTGCTTTTTTCCTCCTACCAGCCCAGTGAAACAAGTAGCAGCCTTTTTATTTTGGAAAGGTCTTAATGAACAAGATGTACCCTCATCTTCCAAACCATCAGACGAGGAGATGCAGCAAGGGTTATTTTAAAGCAATTTGCACATACTTGGTAAAACAGAATAATTGTTGTCATTCCTGAACTCTGAAACAGAAAATAAGTTCTTTTGTGGAAACAAAAATACAAGTTTTTCTCTGGGCTGGAGCAGAGCAAGGCATTGCAGGAGATATTTAGCATCGTGTTCTGACCTTTATGGAAACAGTTGATATGGAAGTATTTTTGTCATATTTATTTAAGCTTTTTTTCTTGCATTTATTTAAACTAGGCAGTATATTTATTTTTAAAAAAAATCAGCAGCATGCCAATCTCCAGTTCTTGGCATGTTAACAACACTAATCATGCAATAAACATAAACCCCTTAAATCCGTGGTAAATGCTTTGATCCTAATGCTCTTAGGAAAGTCCTTTTGGTTTTGTTCTCCATGTAAAGTACCAGGTGTGAGCGTGGTGGGTTTAGGAGATACTAAAGATAACAACAAGAGGAGGATTTGCTAGAGTCTTTGGTGTGATGGCTATAGCTGCTTTTTCTGAAGTAGAATTTCTCTGTTATTTTATGTGCCACAAATATTTTGGTGGATTTTTTATAGAAACACCACAATGTGTGTTTTCACACCCTCCTCCTTGCCTGGCTGTCCTCCCAGGTTCACCCAGGGGTGCTATTTACTGTTGTGCCTCAATCACAGGCTGGAAACAGCCTTTCAGAGCTTTTTCCCACGCTTGAGTGGAGGCAGAGGCAGATGACCACAGGCATGCCCTAGTGCCTGTGATCCTTGACTCTAGGGAGCTGGGTAGTGAAAAAAGTCAGTACAGTACCTGGATACACCTTCAGGGCTGGATCAGAGGTGCTTAAAACCGGTAGAGGTTTTTCTGTTGACTGCAAAGAGCCTTGGATGAGGCTATTCCACAGAGAGCCAGTCTCTCCCCAGTGCCTGGAAGCATTTTCTATGGGGGGTGGAGAAAGGAAAGAAATCAAACAGAAAGAGAAGTATGAAGGGAGTGATTTTGTCTGTGTTATACAAAAGTTTCAAGGAAGGCAAGATCAAAGCTTACCTCACTATGGCACTGTTATTGATAGATACCATAAGCAGCAGCAGTGTTTGCAGCAAGGGAGAGTCCTGCTAACAAAATGCAAAGTTTCTCCAGGGTCCCAAATAAATGATGTGGCTGATGGTGGTAGCTAGGTGTGTCCCTTCCCTGACTCACATGGCAGTGAGATGAAACCCACTATTAAATTATTCTTTGCATGTGGCTCACATATGCTTAAAATCCATGTGCCAGATAAAAGCTGAAAATACCTGAGACGAATTAGACAGCAGTTATGAAGTAGACTCTTTGCAAAGGATTTTTCACTCTCTGATACTTGGTTACATTAGATTATCCAACCTTTCTTTTCTGTCAGTGCAAATGGGATCATAACTCAAACGTGCATGAAAGCAAACGGGTGGTTTAGGTCTGAAAATGCACAGCTGCCTAACTTTGATTTATATTAAAGACAGACATAGAAATGATTAATTCCAGCATCTTGGGAATTACATTTAAGTATTAACAAAATTAGGCAAATTAAGCCTCAACCTCTGAGTGCACCGAGGTGTGCATGCAGACTTGTTGTTTGATCATGGGATCACGAGAAATGTCAGAATCAGGCTCCAGGCCAAAGTGAAGCAGTTTGCAGGAGAATAATAATTTTGAAAATGCCTAGCACTGTATTATTTGTGAGATCAAATATTTACCAACCAGCTGCAGGTCCCCAGAAATGTACTGGCATTGTTGCACAGTGTGGTTAGTCTTCCTCTAGGATAAGCAGTGGATCCAATGTGTTTCTGTATTAATGATGCTCTAGGCTATACCAGCTCTGGATGAGCAAGAGAGAGTCCTGATCAAGGCTGGAAATTTACTCTTTAGGTTTGACTGTTAACAGTAAAGTGGCATCAACCTGCATGGTCAGCACTTACTGAGGAGCACTTGGATTTTTGCTTAAGTATCAGTGTTGCTGTTTAGTCCAAAGACAGTAAATGGATGAAAGTATTAGAAGTTTACAACTGGTTTTGGTAGGATTTGACATTTCCTTCTTGCTGCTGACGTTCATTGCCTGGGGAGAGATGTAGAGAGAATGAAAAAATGAGCTTCTGATGAAATTTGAAGACTTATAAAAATAGGATAACATTAACTTGATCTTTTTTTCTGTTGATACTAAAGAAAAAAAGTGAAGTTTATGGATCTGGGTAACTTGTGAAAGTTTTATTTCATTACAAGGGACAACATTTCCTCTGTTTCTCAGTGCAAGGTTGAATATTGCTTGTTGGGCTTTTTGGTGTGTCTTGAAATTGGAGCTGGGCTTAGAAAAACTCAGAGTCAGTCATCCATCCCTGCTGCATCCTCTCAGAGGAGCATCATTAATGGCTCTTAAACCCTGTTGGTCACTAGGGACCTCAGTGATCTTTTATCAATCTATAATGCTCTTGCATCAGGAAAACAGCCTTTTTCAGGGCATCATTTATCCAAGTTTTTAAAGCAGCAATGTCTGATTTTAGGAGCTGCATCCATTTCTCTCCACATTGGTCTGAACTTTTCCATTTGGCAGCAAGTTACTGCTCTGGTTCTTTGTGGGCTGAATGAGTTGTAAGTAGGGCTGCAATTTAAAATATTCACAGGTGTCAATGTAAATGCCAATTTCTATTCTAGTGGGTCCTTCAGAGCTGCTACATATATACATTTTTTTAGGTTTCAAATATATTCATAGGCTGGTAAGAGCTTGGACTGGAATATATTTCTTGGGAAATATACTGATGGAGTGTCTCCAAAAGGAAGGTTGAAGCCTCATTTCTGCATGTTTCCTCCATTCTGAAAAGAAAGCAGAACATTTTATGTGGAGAGATGGTTGAAACAGTGTGTTTGTGCTCAAGGATTAAACCAGGATGCTTATGACATAGCATGTAATGAAGAAATTGAAGCTGAGTCTCTGGGTGCATCATGCTGAGTAAGAGGCTTGTTCTACACGAAACTGTCATATTAAATTCTTGTCGTGATTCCAGACCCCTTTGATTCCTAAATCTTTTGGAGGAGACTAATCTGAAATCAAAGTGAAGTTGCTTGGGGTTTGCATGCCAGAAGTGGTCACATTTGAAAAAGTTCAGTGAACCTGCAGAGGGAGGTTGAAATTAGTTGCTTCACTACAAAGCTTACAGCTAACATACCTGCTGGTTTGCTTTTCGCTTTGATTCTCCAGGCTCTGCCTTCTTGCCGCCTTCTGAGTTGTTTTCAAAATGCATAAATCTTAAGGATGAGCATGTCCTGGTTTCAATCTGTTTAGTTAAAAAAAAAAAAAAAAAAAGGCAGTCAGTCTACACTGGTAAAGCAAACATGAGCTTTAGTACCAAGAACATGGAAAAGCTGCACTTTCCTGCCTTGTGTCCTTTGTGCAGTTATTTCCCTCGGTGAAGGTGATGTCACATTTTACCCTCCTGATTTACCAACATTTGACATCCCTTTGTACCAAGGTAAATGGAAATGGTTCCTTTCAAGTTCTTCTAAGTAGATACTGAAGGCTTGATCCCTGTAAGATGACTCTGCTCCTTTGAAAGCACTGGAGCAATGCCAGGAATCCAGCCTGTTACCCCTGCTGAATATCAGCTGCTTTGTCTGTGTTGATGGGCATTTTTGGGGATGTTGACCAAGAATATCATGCAATATTAAGTGTAAACAGGAGCATTTCCAGCGATTAAATGCTGCCCTTCCATACCCACCTCAGGTTTTGTGTAGGCTGCCAGGGACCTGGGGATGTGCTTTTTGGTCCAGCTGAAAGAAAATGCCCTGGTTTCCCAGTGGCCTCTGTATGACCACGTAGATGGCCCTGTGTGGAAGCTGATCTGTTGTTACTTTATGTTTACAGTGTTCTGTCTCCTGTGGAAGGGGCCAAAAGCACCGCAGTGTGTACTGCTTGTCAAAGGAAGGGAGGCATGTAGAAGAAGAGTTTTGCAAACACCTTGCTAAGCCCAACATGCAAAAGAAATGCAGAGGGGGCAGATGTCCGAAGTGGAAAGCAGGAGATTGGGGACAGGTGAGACATGTTGTATACCCTTTTGCACCCTTTGGTATTCTTCCTCCATCAAATTGGTTAGAACCTGATTTTCCCATCGCTTCTGTCCTCTTGAATTTTTCAATGGTAAAGGTTTTTGGGCCAGATCCTGCTGTAAAACAGTGTAGCTTCCTGGACAGCAGTGGAGCAGCACTGATTTGTACCAGCTGAAAACATGGCAACTTGTTTTTAGTGTCTATCTGAAAGTAAATTTCTTGTTGTATATTTTAAGTTTCTGCTAGAAAAGTCATTAGTATGCAATATTAAAGAAAATCTACTATTTATTCATGGGTTTAATATCATTATTATTTCAATGTGTCACATCCCAAATAAAATCTTCCTTAGCTTTGAGAAATCTAAAACTAATTTTATTATCAGCTTCCTGAGAAAGCCTAAAGAATAATCAGAGCTGTTCATTAAATCTGCTTTTCACTCCATTTTGTGTCTTAACAAACTCCTCGCTTGATTTTCCTTCATTAAAAAGTCAGACAGTGATGCATAAAGCAGAGGCTGCTGGAAATGAGAAAGTGCTTGGAGTTATTAAGCATCTTGCCTGCTGAAAGCACACCTTGAATCCTTGTTTTCCTGAGAATAATGCCTTTGTCATCACCTTGAATCTGCTGCATCACATTTGTATTTCTGATCCTCGCTTTTCCCTCTACCTCATTAGTGTGCTAATCAGCGGAATTATTGAAAATCCCAGACTAAATGAACTGTTAACTTGTAAAACATCGTGTTCCCTCGCGCTCTGTCTTCTTAAGTAAGGTACAAAACACCAGTTCTTGCTATATGCAAGTTCCCTGTAAGACAAGCCATTAACATTGCTGCAGGCACACACACAAATGTTAGGACTAGGAGACCGTGCTGTTGTTTAATGTCCACTATTAAAAACATTATTAAAAATACTATTAAAAAAGGCAATAAACCCATTGATGTTCTATGATTGTTTTCGGACTTGTATTTCTTTTCATACCTACCTCTGAGTTCACAGAACAGGAGTATTTCCCATTATGTGAGTAAGGGGCTAAGTGCTCATTTGCCGTAGAGATTCAGTTGCTGAGATCTGAGTTCTTTACCTGAGGTAGGCTGGAAGTACCCAAGTATTCCTGTGAAATCCACAGTATCACTCCCATATTGGAAATTAAGCCAATATTATTACCTTTATTACCTGCAGGACTGAAACCTCAATTTTACACATGAGCTCGACTGAAATGAAACGCGAGGCCGTTAGACACTCCTGTCATAGCCGATTTGCACCTTATTTAAAGTGACTGCTCCTGAAAGCAATTTTTTACAGCTAATAATTGTAAACATAATAATGTAATGGGCTGTCGATTGCATTCAAATACACTAATAGTCATTGATAAAAGTAAGTGCTTTAAAATTCCCAGCACTCCACCACATGATGGGAGTTAGTTTTATGTAAGTGGAGAAAGAAACCCAAGTTAATAGGAGGATGAGGTGATTTATGGCCTGAGGTAATGTCTTATGACTGGGCAATTAAGTAATATTTGTATGCTAATGATGAGACTAAGAATAGGCATTTCCAGGAGTAGCTTCTCAGCCCAGGTCCCTGGTGCTGGATGTGCTTGGCCAGCCTGCATCTTGCTTGGGGAAAAAAATAAAAGGGTAGAAACACTTGTTTTACAGTATGAAATTGGGCTTTTTAAAGCCACATGAAATGCTGTGACACAGATCCCTGAGCCTCACCGGTGCTGGCAGCATTTCTGTGCCTGTGACAGATGAAGAGTTGGGGCTGTCAGAGGTTTGGAGCACTGGCTGTGGGTCCCTGCGAGGGCTTTGCCAAAGATTTAATGCCTTAGAGCCGAGCTGGATTTAGGAGCTGAACTTCTCATTAAGGCCATGGAACAGACAGGGGTTTGGCACTCTGAATACCCAGTGGATCAGTGTATAAATGGGCACAGAAACTCCATGTCACCTTCCCTGTCACCAGTGCTGCTGTTGCAAATAGGAGCCGTGATCAGTTTGCACTTAGATACTATCCAACAAAAAAAAAAAGCTTTCTGAAGGTCTAATTGCCTCAGGAAGATAATCCCCAAGCTGAGCTGCTGTGAGCCTTTTCTCCTGGGTAAAGCAGCTAAAGTCTGTGTGAGAAGTCAAGATTTTCCCATAAAAGTGCATCCTTGTTCACCATATATGCACAGGACCTGTTGCATATACCTTCAGGTGGAGTTTTGTCTTTTCCTTTTGGGAAAAGCAATGTTTCACAAAATCAGTATTAAAAAATACAGGAATGGTTAAAAACTAATCCCAGATGGACGCTGGCCTGGCTATGCTGGTGCTGCACTCCCAGGTTTTTTCTCTTTGGATGTTTTGCATTCAGAGGGTGGTTAATTCTTTTCTAGACTGTTATGCAGCAAAGCATTTTTAATACATCTGTAATAATCAAAAGGGAAGGAAAAAGGCTTTTCCTCCAAGTTTTAAATGTGCTTATGCCTGCACTGAAATGTCATATTTAATATGTTTGCTTCTCCTAAGTGGTATCAATTATGACCATTTACCTTTCACTTAGCGAAAATACCAATATTTATTCTGCTGTCTGGTATTTACATGTTACAGTTACAGGCTGGAATCCAGCCCTGTCTGAAAACACAGGCAGAGCTTCAGGTAGAGCTTCTGGCACAGCACAGGGACCAACCTCCCTCTCCCCAAACCTGAGTGTCACACACTGCACAGGTCCCCGTGAAAGAACCACAGCGTGACTTGCCCTCCCTTATCCTAGGGTATGTGCTTTTTAGCTTGGTGATAAATGCAAACTAAAAGGCGTTTTAGAGCATGGTAGGGATCCTGGGGGATATGTTTCTCCAAGTTTGTGGCTATTATTCAGTTTAAGTGTCCCCTATGGAATTGGTAGGACAAACAGTGCCGTTAATCCCAGGGAGGCAGCAGCACAGCATATGGGAAGCGTTTGCATCACCAGTGACAGAAATCCCACTGCTGCTTTCAAAAGCTACACAAAAATACTCCCAACCCCTTACAAATATTTGAAGCCAGATGAATATTCAGTCAGCTTTTCTTTGGTCCTCTTGGCTTTATGGGGCATTTGAATAGTAAAGCAAACAGCGTTATGGAGGAATATTCTACAGAAGGAGGGAATTGCTTCCTCATTAGGCACTGCTTAATTCCCTGCCTTAAGATGGCTCATTTTTATGAGTATTGCAGTAACAGGATGTGAACTTGTTTTCTCAATTCCTGATCTATTACTAAGGTTGCTTATATTAATTGTTAATTCAGATGTTTTAAATGCATACCTTTGATTTTCACATGCTTTTTTCAATAAATGCAAATTCTTTTTCTTCCAAATCTATAGAGTATGCTTTAAGCTCTAGCCAGGAAGAATCAGTACCAGAGGGATGTTAAGTGCTGCTAAACATACTAGTGTGCAGTCACAACATAAGAAATGTTGTGTGAAAGAAAAAATAAACTGATAAAAGCATCGTAGTACAGACAATAATTAGAAGATGTCTGAGAAACAAAGAATTCAGGCATTTCTTGCTGTGCCTAGAAGTCAGGAGAAATGTGCCCACACTGTAATGAAGGAAATGTGAAGTGCAGTTCATTTCAAAGAGACATTTATTTTGGCAGACTAACAGTATGCCCTGCCTTGTGTGCATGTGCATGTTTAGATGCCTGCTGAAAGCAATCCCAGCTGTATCACACCTTTCCCTCTCTACTGCTACAGACTTTCTTCCATACAATCCAAGTCTGCTTTTCATTAAAGTCCACTCTGTTTGTGGCATTGATGTATCTTGAACTACTACTTTTTCGAGCGAGTGCCTGAGAAAGTAAAATGCAGAGCCTGGATGCCTCTGCCTTGTCGTGATGGGTTAGCAGTGCCACTATCTCCAGAGGATTTTGCAATAAAAATCCTGTCTGGAAAGTCCTGACCCCTCTGAAACCAACAGCAGAGCAGGGGTTGCAGCCCATCTGCAGCAATTTTCCCTTGTGCAACCAAAAACCTCCCCAGGAAGTTTCACAGGGCATCACTATCGGTGCTATTGAGCCCAAAGCAAAGGGTGAACCCCATGAACTTACCGTGAGAGGTGCAACAAGGACTGCCACTCACCTTCTGTCCCTTCCTGCAGTGCTCTGTGTCCTGCGGCCGAGGTGTCCAGCGCCGCACCGTGCACTGCCACAGCGGCACCGCGAAGGCAGCCAAGGAGGACGAGTGTGACCCAGCCAGCCGTCCCCCTCTGCAGAGGGACTGTCACCTCCCTGCCTGCCCCACGCATCGCTGGGCAGCTGGGGAATGGCAGGAGGTAAGCAGGAACCCCCTTCACCCTGCCCTGGGGTCATGGGACTTGTGCTCTCGAGCGTGCGGCGCGGGGCGATGCTGCAGATGAGGTTGTCGAGGCCATGGATCACTGCTGCAGGGTTGGGGATCACTGCTGCAGGATTGGGGATCCCTGCTGCAGGGTTGGGGATCGCTGCTGCAGGGTTGGGGATCACTGCTGCAGGGTTGGGGATCGCTGCTGCAGGATTGGGGATCACTGCTGCAGGGTTGGGGATCGCTGCTGCAGGGTTGGGGATCACTGCCTCATGCGTGCTGGTTGGAAGGAGGAGAGGAGAAATACCTCTGTAAGGTTAATTTATTGCTTCATGCTGCCCTGTGTTTGGCTGGGACCTATGCAAATATCGAGCAGGTTTTGGGTAGGGCGTACTTGGGTCTGTTCCTGGAGGCAGAGCTCTGCGCGCTGCTCTGGCTTGAGCCCTGGGGGGGGCCTGTGGGTTTGAAGGAATCAGGAGGCAGTGGTAATTCCCACTTTCCTGCCCTGTTACCCCATCTCCTTCTTATATTCCTCTCCTTTCACTGAGCTCCTGGTCCATGCTCTTTTGTCGAGCCATGAGCAGTGCTGAGATGGGATCTCCCATGGGAGATGGTGGTTTTCTAAGTGACCAGGATCAGTCCCTTGCAAAACCAGCCCCTTAGGCTGGAATGGGAGATAAAGCTACTGCTCCAGTGGTTCAGAGAGTGACTCCAACTCTCCTGTAGTGTGGGCAGTGTGTTGCCCCAAGGCTGGTGGGTGGCAGGAGGACTAGGAGACTCTGGATGGCAGGAGCCCTCCCATGGGCTGCCCACAGGGTGCTGTGTCAGCCTGCAAGTGCACAACAGGTTTTGGCAGAGAGAGTTCAAACCAGGCACCAAAATTATTCTGGTTTTGTTCCATTTTTGGCCATCCCTGGGTTAGAGAGTCCTGTTCCAGTTCTCTTTCATCCCTGTCCCACTGTCCCAGGCTCTACCCTGCAGTGCAGAGACTGCCAGCCTTGAAAATAGGAAAGGTGAACCTGCCAGTTCTGGGGAGCTGACTCCTGTGTCACACAAGCCACAGGAGGGGCCACCACTCCTATGGAGAGAGTGTCCTCATCACTTAGGGAGAAGAGGATTGCCCATCATGGCCCTCCATGGGGATGCAGGGGATGGAGGGGGCTGAAGACACCCCCACACCAACCACATCAGACTCCCTGCAAGATCATTGCTGGCCCCAGTGATAGGCCTGCAGGGGCTCAACCCTGCACCCTTGGAACAGCAAAGGTCTCACTGACTTTAGAGGTGGGTGATCAGAACCTGATCTGGATCACTCTGAAGCCTGCAGTGCACAACTCCAGAGAGCAGATGAAATATGAATCAAATAAGGACCTAGTGTTCCTTGGCAGTCAGGGTGCTTGTTATAGTGCTCCTGGATGGCCTAGGCAGGTCTTGAAGGGGGATAAAATTGGTCCAGGTCCCTTTGCCTGTCAAGACAGTGTAAAGAGGCCATGGTGTAAAGGAAAACAGGACCTCCTGCTCTGGTAACAAAAGATGGAGAGGAGCAACTGGCTTCGTGCTCAGAGCCTTGGTGTTCACAGGCACTTCCAGAGCCTGTCTTTGTGGTGTCACTAAAAAAGAGAAAGAAAGAAAGAAAAAAAGGGCAGGTTAGGAATGGCTGAGAAGGGCTCCAGCAAATTCCTTGCTATGAACTTTTGGTTTTACAGAGCCCATTAATTTCTTCAGCTAATAAATTTACAGGCAGCAAAGTAGGTCACCAAACAGCATGCGGTGCAAGTGCTTGCCTAATGTTGTAATTAGCCCTGAAAAGCCACGGCTTCTGGCCCATCCTTTCAGAGAATCATAGAATTATTAAGGTTGGAAAAAATCATCAAGCTCAACTTTCAACCAAATTTTACTGTTTCTCCCTTATTTTTGCAACTTCTTACCAGTGGTGAGAGGTCCCTGCCTGCCCTCACCCTGCCAAGCCCTTGGTGAGAGGGGAATGTTGATGTTTTCCTAAGTTTTCCAGGGCTTCCCATTGCACTGAGGAAATTTTTAACATATTATGGAGATTAATTTTTTTCCCCAGGAGAGCTTTACTAGGTAGGGGGATGGACTGGAAGTTCCTCATCCATAAATAACCATGTGCAGAAAAATGCAGGAGATGCCCAACGTGAGCTCACCCGTTTGGCTGACTCCAAACAGTTCTTCTCAGCACTTCTTATTTTGTCCTGATGCACACACTGAAAAAAAGAAGGAATAGCACCTTCTCCCCAGCCATAAGTACTGTCTATATGTTATTTATAGTGAGGAGGAACAGACCACATTAGTATTCTCTGAGCAGGGAACAGCAATGAACCCTAATTGACATGAAAGTCTGGATGTGAAATAACATCCCAGTGCTATCTTGTTCTTGATTTCTTATCTTTTAAAGGAAATCTGTCAAGAGGGTTTGGGTTGCGTTTTTTTATTGTTCCATTTCGTTGTTGTTGTTTAGAAAAAGGTTGGTCTTGCCAATGAGAAGGACTAGGGAACTTATTGGAAACCGTTTATTGCTCTGTTGGTGAATCACCATTAATTACCTGTTCTCAGTGCCCACACCAGGGAGAAGAAAGTCAATAGAAAGGGCCTTGCTAATGTCAAAGTAAAAATCAGACCAGAGTCACGAAGATAAAGGGAAAATATGAGCCTCTGTGGAAGGACAATGCACGTCTCTGGAAGCTGCAATGCAATTCTTGAATCTCTGACATTTGCCATTTGGGTGGAAATCGTGCCATCCTGAGCCTGATTTGAATTGCAGAGTTACCCAAGGCATGTTTCAAGTGTTCAGGGCATGAGGGGTTCATTTCATCTCTGTCAGATTTTGATTTAAAAAAGCAAAGAAGAAAACAATGAATGCTTTTGCAAAGCAATGCCTTTGGGGTTATTTTAATTATTGTTATTACTCTTCTAAAACAGTTGCAGAAGTGCTTGAAATGATCCTTAATTTGAACTGCCAGGAGAATAGTTCAGAATTTGGGAAATGAGGCAAAAGATACAAATTTTGTCAAATGCCTGACCTGTTTTTCAGCTTTTGCTATCAATAGCTGTCATACCCTAGCCCCACAGTTTTATGTGAGATTTAAATCAGTCTTGAACATGAGATTTCATACAAAATCTATCACTGTATTAAAAGGAAAAATAGCCTTTTCATGCTAGCTGAACCATCTGCTTTCTCTATGAATAATGTTTTATTACCTTGAGGTGGCTGATTGGAACTTCTGCTGTGTTTCTCTGATTTATTTTACGATGTTCTCACTGTCTGAGCCACGTTTAATATTTCAGTGGGATTATTTTAATTGCCAGTTACCCCTAAAAAATACCAGTAGTCAAACTGTAATTTACTGATGATGACCAAATGCACAGAGGTGCCTCAGGTTTATTTGGCCACACAACTGATACTTGCAAAGAACCCCAAAGCAGACTGGCATGTGCTTGAGAGTGTCAGTCTCTCATCAGCAATTAATGACATTTAACGAGGATGGCCTTTTGATGTGATAGCTCTTCATAATGGCAGAAGATGTGTTGATGGCATAGAGTTTGTTCACCCTTCTAAAATTATGCGTGAGCCAATGTATACTGCAAATTTAGGCTTAAATATACATTAAGAGGAGGAGACAAAGTCAGCCTTGTCTCTTACCACTCCTTGCAAGGTGCCTCCTTTGGCCATGAGCCGCCAAGGGCTGGAAACATTCACCCTGTGCTGGTCACCTCATGCTGGGTGGCAAATGCCAAACCAGAGATGTGGGGAGCTTTGAGCATCCCATAGCCCCATTTCCACCGTGCTGGAGAGTACCTCGTTATGGGGAAGCTGGAAATTCGGGGGTCAGGCTGCCCCAGAAGGTGCCTGGAGAGTGCTCAGGGAAGCTACGTGGTGATGGAGAGCTAGTGATGCTGTATTCACACACAGTGATGGAAAGCTAGTGATGCTGTATTCACACACAGTGACCCCCTTTCAGTTTTTCTTATGTAAGAGAGAGGTAATCAGAGATGGGCAAATATAGCACAGTTTGTTTGGTTTCTGGGGAAATCACACTCCGGCAAATTCCTCCAGCCCCTGTAGGATCGCCATGTTTCTGCACAGACCTAGAAGGAGCTTCCACTCCAAGGATTCAAAGCAAGAGAGTGAATAAGGTTGAAAGCACATGAAGCCCTTGGGGTCTTTTGGCAGACTGCAGATTTTGCAATGTTGACTGTTGCCTAAGAGCTCCTGAGTTATTCCGTCAGAATAAATGCTGCTTTGTAGGGCTCCTTTCCTTCCCTGTCCCTCTCCACTTTGCTCTGGTACTAAATATTTACACCCAAAATGTTGCACTAGCTGTGGCTCTCCTGGTTTGCTGCTCCTGCCACAGACTGATCTGATTTTTCAAAGTCCTCACATAATTTACAATCTTGCTTCTGACAGCTAATTACAGAAACAGGGCCCTGACAGTGCCTGTATTTTGCAATTAGCTGAACCCACTAAGATCTTGCTAATTGTGGGCCAGCCAGGAGAGCAGGAGCTGCTTCAGGGAGACTGGGAATGATGTTTGGGGGGTGAGACTCTAACTAGATTAAATTGGCACAGTCCTCTGAGCCTAGGTGACTTCAAACGGTGTTTCTGTACAGATAGGGATGGTCTGATTGAATGTTTTATCCCTTTCCTTAGGGGAAGACATTGCCTGCATGTTCTATAAAATGATTATTTTCATGCATTCTTCTCCTTGTTAATCCAGTTAGTTGAAAGTGTTAGAAGTCCATTACAGGCGATAACTTTCAGAAAATAGGGTTTTATCCAGACAGCTGCTCTTATGCTGATTTATTTTGTTTTGTCTGTGGTTTTTGTGAGATGCTCTCCAAGCACACCCTCACTCCCAGCAACACAGCCTCACAGCTAGGCTGGTTTTTCCAAGACAAGCAGAGAAAGAACTGAGTCCTTAAAGTCTCCAGAAGCCCCTGGGAAGCAGTTGTGCTTGGCTGGCATAGGTTGCTCTTAATATCAGGCAGGGCAATGTTTAGAAGTAAATAAACTGGGGTTTTTCTTTGCCTCCAACGCAGTGGTTGCAGAGTTGTGTTCAAGGCCAGGCTGAATGAAGCTCTGAACAACCTGATCTAGTGGGAGGTGACCCTACCCATGGCAGGGGGTTGGAATTAGGTGATCTTTAAGGTCTTTTCCAACCCAAACCCAAATATGATGATTCTATGTGCCCTCACACCATGCCAGGGCTGAGTGATGTTGCTTGCCCACTGATGGGGACCAGGGAAGTGTCTTTCCCCACACCAGCCACAGCCAGAGGTACAACAGTGTGTTTTTTGGAAGGGTGATGGTTTCTTGGAAGGGTGATGGCTGAACTGTAATTCTTGGAACAGATGTATTTACTAGGGGCTGAAATGATGGAGGTTGGCCCCTTTCTTTTCCCCTTGTTCCATCTCTTGGCCCAGCATGTCCACTCCAGCATCTCTTGGTCCCATCACAGCTGGACCCTACATCTGCCCCTTCAAAATACCTCCTACCTCAGTTTCTCCTGTCTCCCTACCTCTGTGATTTAGGCTAGTATCTCCACAGGTCAGGATGTTCCCACAAATTTTCCCCCAGGTGACACCATCAGCAGATGCCAATATGGGGCACAGATCAATCCGCTCACGCGGGCTGGGAGGAGGGCTCACTCCCGATGCAGATTTGTTTCCTGAAGTCCCTCATGGGTTGTATGGGCCATTGTTTGTTGCCTGCAGTGCACGAAGACGTGCGGGGAGGCGTCACGGTACCGCAAGGTGGTCTGTGTGGATGAGAATGAGCAGCTCCAGAACAGTGGGTACTGCGACGCCAGCAAACGCCCTCCCGAGATCGAGAGCTGTGTCCTGCCGCCCTGCGAGTACATCTGGATCACGGGAGAGTGGTCAGAGGTGAGTCCTCCTCTCGCCACTGCCCTCACTGATGTATTGCAGCCCAAATCAGCAGCGGCAGCAAAGTGCTGTGTGCTTTAATTATTAATTTTTGGTTTGTTTCTGTGTGCAATTTCTCTGTTGGAGAGAAAGGAGTACGGTTCTGGGAGATGACCAGGATATTAAAGACTAAAAGAAGCATGGTCAGGGTCCTAGCTAATATCTGGAGGTAATTTGCTTCCAAAGCACATCATGTTTGGCAGGCACCCTCTTTGCTTTTGTGCTGTTTTATTTCATTTATGTATTTATTTGGTTTGATTGCCATCCCCTCCTGGGGAGCTCCAGGGCCCCGTGAGCTGTGCAAGGGTCCAGGTGAGCATCGTGGGGGAAAGGTGAATCTGGATGTGACCGTGGGGCCATGTCCTTCCTCGGTGCTGTCTCTAGCAGGAGCAAGGACTAGGAGTGAGCAAAGGCAGGAGATTCACCCTCACAGCTGGGAGAGGGCTCTGCAAGGAAAATAGATGAGTTTTCCTTGCGGCAGGCGCCACATGCGGGAGGATCGGGGCTAATCTCAGCCTGTTTCCTTCTGCAGCCAGTGAAGGATTACTTTCCAGTTGGAGGAACAGCAGAGGGAAATGACAAGGCAGCTGCTGACACAGCACTGATTAAAACGAAAGAACAAGAAAAGGGAAAAAGGAAAACATGCCAGGACTGAGGGGGAGGAGAGACAAACCACCCAAGATAGCACAGGAGAGAGAGATGAGAATATCTCAGAGCAGCCTGGTCTCCTGGGTGGTTTCCTAAGAGAAATATTGAGGTGCCTGTGAGGCTTGAGCCCTGGCTGCCCCTTGCCCAGACACCCTCTACCCACTCCCAGTGCCTGTGACCCCCTAGGAGAACTCAGGCCCATGAATATAGAGAGATGGGAGAAGGCTCACAGAGCCAGAGCTTGGCTCTCCCCAGCTCCCACTCAGCCTTTTGGTGAGGAAGGCAGAAGCACCATTTGTCCTCTAATTGCAAGGAAACATTTCTCCTTCTTCCACATGCTGCCAAGTACCTTCAGTTCAGAGTCAGTCTTGACCATTTACTATTTCTGTGTATCCCATGGAAAAATAAGAAAACCAAAAATGAGCCCACCAAAACAGCTGAATAATAGAAGCATTTCTGAGTTCCCAAGGATCTTCTCCCCTTTGGAAGAAATAACATATCCCCAGGAGCCAGCCTGGAGTAGGGAGTCCTGGAGCAGCAATAGATCCAGCCCAGAGGGGAGCTGAGCAATCAAAGGCAGCATCAGGCACCAACCCACTTGGAGGAGCCACTCACAATACTCATGACTGCCTTAAATAGATACTAGTGATCCCTTGGAGCAGCTTGCCATGTTAAAAGCTGCCACGCCTGGTTTTCCTCCCCATTTTGGGCTGCCTTCCTGCAGCACGCAGTGCTAACAGAGCTTCCTCTGCCCACAGTGCTCAGTCACCTGCGGGAAGGGATACAGGCAGCGCCTCGTGTCCTGCAGCGAGATTTACACCGGGAAGGACCACTATGAGTACGGGTACCAGAACATGGTTAACTGTCCTGGCACACAGCCACCCAACATCCAGCCCTGCTACCTCGGGGAGTGCCCAGTCTCAGCGTCCTGGCGCGTCGGCAACTGGGGAAGCGTAAGTTTAGTGAACTTCTTTTTTTAACTGAAAAGATGCAACAAACTTATTTTTTTACATACAGGCTGAAGTTTGAGGTAGGGGGAAATGCTTAGAAGCAGCATAAATTAATGCAGTGAATAACTCTGGTGCAGCAGCAGCCCCTGTGTGTGTAGGGCTCCGTGCTCCAGACTGAACCCCATTGTATGGGGGAGTCTCAACAACTACAAGTAGAGTCATGATCTCAACAAAAATTTGGATGTAGCCAAAATTTGTGGCAGGGTTGATGGTCGTGCTGAATGCTTAGTCAGAGACTGGGATCGTTGCAGAAAAAAAGGGTTTGAAAGCCTTGTGCTTGTAGGATCAATGAGTTGCTGGCAACTGCAGTTGATCCCACTTGTCAGGTGTATAAGCAAGACTTGGGAGCCACCAATAGGCCAAATACTGGTCATTTGAGCTTTAAAAGGATATTTTTCTTTTTCTTTCTCCCCCTCCTTATTACAAATGCTGGGACAGGGCAAGGGAAAGAACTTGGTCTTTCTGCTAAAGTTATTTGTCTTGAGCCTCTTCAGGGACCTGAACTGCAAGATCAAATTTTACTTAAGGTGATAACATTTCACTTCTTCAGGCTTCTGATGTTCTTTGAAATGTGATGTTTCTCCCATAAATTTGATTTATTAACCCAGCTCAAGCATTTGTTGGAATTTGTCAAACCTTTACAAGGCAATGAGGGTCAAGCCAAGCAAAATATAGTGGAAGTTGTCACAGTAACTGGCAAAACTGTTAGAAACCTAAATTCCTCCTGCCCCATAGGAAACTTCAGATCCTCCCTGTGAGTCAGAGCAGAGGGCTTACAGCAAAGAGCTCAGCCTCAATTAATTGGTATTTTCCCCCAGAATTTCAGGGCGAAATACCTAACTCATTAATACAACTTCACTGCAAAAGTATCCATTTCAGAGAGCAAGACCTTTCTCCTCTCTTTGGGCTGCTGAACATCCCAGTGACTACCAAGTGCCATGACCCTTCTCAGCTCTGATTCTCAAAGGGATTTAATGTGAAATGCCATCACCTTTGATGGGCAGAGAGAGAGTCCTACTCAGTGCTTTAGTTACATTTTATGGAATTGGACTTGATAAAGAGTAAATGCCCAAGCTGTGAATACCAGGAGCCATTGAAGACCATTTTCTTCATGGTGTATTCCTTTGGACTAAACATTTCTAAATGGATAAGCAGCTTCATTTTCTTTGCAGCCTAACCGGATGCCTCTAGAAAGAGCTGATTTTCAGTTCTCAAGTACTTGAAAGCACAAGTTGCAGAGGGGTAGCCAGATGATTGGTAGCTCCAGTGACTTGTACAGTTTCAGCCTTAAGACTACCCTTGATCTGGGCTGTTTGAGGATGACCCAGTGTTTGCACAGATTTAGCCGTTTTTCCGGTGGGTGAGGGGAGAGAAGACTTGGAGGCTTCATTTTTTGGTTGCAATTTGGATAGAAAACAATGATCTATGTCATGTTTGTTCAGAGGTCTCTGTCAGTGACCCAAGCAATGTCTCCCAGCCACCAGGAGAGGATTTCTACCATTCAGACCTTCTTGTGAACATTTCTCTCTTGTATGACCTTCCCAATGTGAAAAATGAACACTGTCACTTGAGCACATGGTTCACCTTAACCAACTGCCTCATCCAGCAAAGTGTGCAAACACTAAGTAGTGTTCCTGAAGTAATCAATTGTGATGATAATAATGAAGGGATTAATAATCAAAGGGACTACTAATTTGATTAAAATTAAGCCCGTGTTTGAACACTTTGCAGAATTGGACTCCTTGCTGCTGTCTCTTGATACAAGGGAAACTGTTTGTTCTTCTGGAGCCCAGAAACCCTTGAGATAAAACACAATTCTCTGTCTTGTGTCCTGCAGTGCTCTGTCACCTGTGGAGTTGGGGTCATGCACCGGTCGGTGCAGTGTTTGACGAACGATGACCAGGTCAGCAGCTTGTGCCATGCAGATCTGAAACCTGAAGAGAGGAGAACATGCCACAATGTCCATGACTGTAAGTCTGCAGATTTGCACCTTTCTTTGCCTTTTTCATGGCTTCAGCATCTTTTCCCATCAAACTCATAGAGATCTGCAGTATTTCCAAGCATTGGGAGCCATCCAACTAAGCACTAAAGGACTTCAGGGAAACATCTTAAAAATAAACAAGGTGTTTTGATGCTTTGGATGCTTCATGGTGTTACAAAAGAAATTTTGATGTATAGCTGCTCAGTGACTACAAATGTTTCTGTTTTGTTTCAGGTGAATTACCAAGGAGTTGCAAAGATGTTAAAAATCTCAAAGGTGTCACTGAAGATGGTGAATATTTCCTGCAAGTCAAAGGAAAGACGTTAAAGGTGCATTTCAGTTAATGCATTTTCCTAAGGGCCAAGAGGACCCTGCGTGTGCTCTGCACTTCCACTCTTGGATTTTCTACCTCTGGTTTTGTCAGTGATCCCTTTGCACATGACAAAATTCTGGCTTCTCTCTCTCAGGTGTATTGCTCTGGAATGGAGACTGACAGCCCAAAGGAGTTTGTGACCCTTGTAAATGGGGATGCAGAGAATTTTTCAGAGGTGTATGGATACAGGTAAGAAATCCTCTCATTGTGAGCTTCACAGTGTTTTTGTTTTCCATGGCAATATTTTCCGGCCATGAGTAGAAAGAGGTTTTTTTTTGGATTTAGATTGCATAACCCGACTGAGTGCCCATATAACGGGAGCAGAAGAGAAGACTGCCCATGTAGGAAAGACTACACAGCAGCTGGGTTTTCCACCTTCAGCAAAGTAAGGCTGGACCTGAACACTATGCAAATAATAAGTGAGTAAAAACAGGGCCTTGCCATTAAAAAAAATGTTTATTTTGCACAAATATAGCTGTAACTACAAGCAAGCAGTAGTACTCTAGTGAGCAATATTCCTGAGTTTTCTTGTTAAAAGCTGCTTTTCAACCTGGTCACTTGTTTGCTGCTTTATGCTTGGAGACTGCAACTTGAGTGCATCAGAGATGTTCATTTTATTTCTCTGTAAAACAGGAAAAGATTAAGAAAATTGCTGGTGCATCTGCTCTGCAGAATGAGTATTTGTGTGCAACTGGCAGGCCAGTGTATTTTTTGAAGGATTTTGTTTCATTTGGTCTCCTCTTTTCAGACTGGTCTCAGACACAAAGCCTAACTGGGGAGGAGCTGCCGCCCCATTTTACTCTGAGAGGTGTCAGAGGATCCCAGTGCAGGGGACTCTACCTCCTCCCTGACTCCAGGGATGCTATCAGTTTCCAGCAAATGTTTTAAAAATATGACATATTGTTGGAGGTTCATTGAATAAATAGCTAAGGGTTTTTTAGTAAATCAAAATCCTTCCTTGTAAAACGACTCTTGATCTGATAAGGGGGTTTTATCACTTAATTTTCAAGACCTCCCAGTCTATCAATCTGTAAAAAGCTACTAATAATCTGTAAAAGCTCCTAGGTAAAGAGCTCAAAGAAACCACCCTCCGGGAATTTGATACCAGCTCCCTTTGAATTTCAAAAGGAGTTGGGCACCTACCTCTGTCAAGCAGGAGCTATCTCACATCCCCATCTAAATGAGTCTCGGTTACTTCAGATCACTCCGGAGCAAAATACCCCAATTCCCTTTGAAACCCCGACCCCTGGGCTGGGGCAGCCAGGAGAGCAGAGGTGGTTGTTTGTCTTTGTTTAAAAAATTTAGGAGGTCCCATGGCCTTCTGGAAAGTGGGGAATTTTCTGATAGAGAAATAGACCCCAAGTCGTGAGTATGAGTGTTGTTGTTACTTATACCTTGTTCCTAAATCACCAGTGGATTTAAGCTGAGCTGTAAACACTGAGTGCATAAGTGTCCTGCTAAATTCAGTGCTCAGGTGCTGGGAGTCACACGTGGGATGAATTCGGAGATTTAATATTAGAAATCTAGTAGACTTGACTCTCAAGATTAATGTATGAAACCAACTTTAGTGAATTTAAACATAGCGAAGAGCATGTTTACATTTATTTTGTCTCTCTCCCTGCATCTTTCTTTCCATGTTATTCACCAACTCTTCTCCACAGCGACTGATTTACAGTTTGCACGGACACATGATGGACGACCTGTTCCTTATGCCACTGCTGGGGACTGCTACAGTGCTGCCAAGTGCCCACAGGTATTTGACAAGAGCATTTCACAGGAATTGGTGCCATTTGTTATGTTCAGGCCCTCTATTAATTACTGCTGATCATATCAGCCCAACTCCAGTTAGCTTCACATTCCTATCTCAGCAATCAGAAACTTTTCCCTTTGTCCAGGAAGAAACTACTTTCCATTTTCAGCATTATCAGGCCAGTGGCTGGCTAAGGGACATTCCCTAGGGCCTCAGTCAACAGTAGAGGAGAAAGGGAAGAAGAAATAGGCTGTGGGAGAAGAACTGGGCTTTGCGTGTATGGTTGAAGGCAGAGGGATTAGTCCATGACAGGGCTTGGTGGAAATGCTGGGCAGGAAGAGCAGTAGGTAGTCAGGTCATTGGGATGCCCTGGGAAAATGCCTCTGTGCTCTGCAATCTCATACCCACTGAAACCAGAAGATGGGTGAGACAACCCCTCTGGATGGGAAGGAAGCAGGCAGGCAGTGGGACTCCTGCCATGCCAGCTCCTGGGGAGATGCCTGAGAAGGGCAGGGTGTTTGTGGGACAGGTCATATTTCTACTCTGAACAGTCAGGGCCCATCTGTCAGAGACCACAGTGGTATCTACCAGCTGCAGCCCCACTGTCCTCACACTGCTGTTTATTTTGACAGCAGCCTGATGGGACCATCCTCACTCCACTTTGGGGCTGAGAAAACACTGACAAAATGAAGGTGGTGCCTGCACTTCAGGGCAAATCCAGCCTGTCCCAGCACCACAGAGAAAGCACTGAGCAGGACACAGGCTAAGCTGCCTGCTCAGTGGCTCTGGGAGGTGATGTAGGACATCTAGCCCAGTTGCTTAAAGAAAAAATACGCTTTTAAAAAGTCTTTAGGAAACTAGTAACACTGTGCCATAGGTGGTTTGCTCTGTGTCCCCAGCACACCTAGATTTTGTGGGGCTGAGGGATGAGAAGTGATAGGTTTGGATAGTCCAAGGTATTGGGTAGGCTGTATTGGCAAAGGGCACTAAGCAGGGAGTCGCAGCAGCAGACGGCAGAGGGCAAACCTCTCCATCTCCTTCCCTCCCTGCTTTCGGATCTGACACTTTTCTGCACAGCTCAGCGGCTTAGGGATTGACTTCTTACCTCAGGAATGCTCATGAATGTTAATATCCATCCACCTGACCCAGACAGTTTGCTCCTCGCAGAAAATCAGCATTCCCAAGGCAGCAAGTGCAAGGAGCAAAGCTAACAGCCATCTGGTACTGCACGGCCGTACTGGGCTGTGGGTCAGCCTGGGGATGTGTCCGAAGGGATCTCTCCAGCGGTCCAGAAATTGGCAGGGCTGGGGGGCTGAGCACTGGATGCAGGCATAGATGTTAATTTTCCATCCATTTTGTGCATTTCGAGAAAGGGTGGAATGAAGTGTTTGAAAGAAATAAGCAAATGAAAGAGTTTTAATTTTCCTGAAGTCTGGGGAAACGAACCAAACCACCAACCAGTGGAAAATAAAATAAGGAAAACAAGGACAAGTGTGCCCTCTCCAGTTGAGGAGGGAGCAGTGACAAGCAGCTGCAGCACATCCCTGGAGCCCCTTCCCATCAGCTGCTGGAGCACGTCAGGCTCTGTCTGTAGTTTGCCATGGAAAAGCCAAGAATGCCCTCAGCCGGCAAGCAGTGAAAAAGCAGTGCAAAAACCAGGAAAAAAATGTAAAACCGGGGGAAAGCAGTGAAAACCCGGGGGGAAAAAAGGCAGTTCAAAAGTAAACTGAAGCTCCTCCTTCTCTGCAGCCACCAAGGAGAAGGAAATTCCTAGCACAAACCATGCTGTGATTTGTACAATGGGCTGACCACAGTCAGAGCGATGGAAAACAAGGAAAACATTGCTGAAAAGATCCTGTTAGAAAAGTGACCCTGGCATGCTGGGACACCAAAGCACTGTGTTTTGGGATAACCAGGTTCTTCTTGTTTTTTAGGGTCGCTTCAGCATAGACCTGTACGGGACAGGCCTGTCCCTAGTGGGAACAGCCAAGTGGCTCTCACAAGGGAATTACGCTGTGTCGGAAATTCAAAAATCCCCAGTAAGTTGTAACTTTAATTATGTCTATCCCCACTCATCAGAAGTTTTTAATCTCCACGTTGTCATTCATGGCAACATCCTCCAGTAGAGACTAATAAAAAATGAACATCTGACATTAAAGTGTTGCCTGTAATTGCAGGGGTGAGGGAGGCCCTTACGGGTTTAACTTGATCAGAATTATTGCAATTAATTAGCGAGCCTGATTAACTATGAAGCTGGAAACTCTGAGTGCTGTGGGGCAGACATATCATTAATGAGTTGTCTGAGATGTCCAGCATGGAGCATATATCACAGGGCAGCAGCACCAGGGTGTGCAGGGTCAGGGCTGCAGAGTAGGGCTTGGCCCAACAGAGATGTGCCAGGTGAGTGGCCTGAGTAGAAACTAGTCACAAAATGTTGCTGATAAAGTGTGGAGGACATGGACCTTCCTGTTGGTCTGGGTTTATCTCCTTGGGAGAGTATCTAGTCACCGGAGCACTGCACCCCGAGGCACCATCCCCTGCCACTGCCCATGGGTCTGCTGACTGAAGACCTCCAGATAAGCCAGGCAGCCCTTCAAAATCACTCCACAGCCAAAACTGAACTTATACAGCTTAATTTGCCTGCCTGTTAACACCTCCATCTCTGTGTGCCTTCACCCTGTTGCTTCTGTGTTATGTTCTGAAATTGGAAAAACCCAGGATTGCTTTGTTGGCTGTTACTTCATGTGAGTCATCCAGATTGTCCCTGTTAAAACTCTCCAAAGGAGGTCACCATAACCATTTAATAAACAGCAATTTGCAAAATATCCTCTTCTGTGCTGCTTTCAGCCTCCCTGGCTCTGGGGAGCCCTGGGAGCCCCTGAGATTCCTCTGTGCTGATGCTCTTAAAGGAAAATTAAATGCTGCTAGTCCGACCAATGCAGGTAGAAGAGGACCAGGACAGACACTGTATGGCAGTTCTGGCAGGTGCTTTGCTGTTCTTCTCCCCTTGGACTCAATGATCTTAGAGATCTTTTCCAAAATTCATGATTCTATGATTCAGAAAGGAGAAGGCTGGGCAGTTGACTTTGGGGTTGCAGAGAACGTCATGGCTGGCAGAATTAAAACAAACTTTAAGGGACAGGAGTGCCCAAAGACCCTCCATCACCTGGTGGCATCTGTCAAGTGCTGTTCCAAAGGCATAATTGCCGGCAGGAGCAGAAGAAAGAATGGCATAGTGAGAAGAGATGATAGCAGCCTGCTGCAGTCACAGATCAATAATGTCAAGGGCAAGGTGGAGCTCGTTTAAAAATAAATGCTTTGTGCAAGTTTGTTCTGTGCTTAAGTCCAATTTTCTGGTAATTGAGGGCTGAATTCCCCTCAAGGACTGCCTGTCCATTGTAATGACCAAGAGGAGAAAGACTCTTCAGAGGTGGGATAAGGAAGGCCAGATGGAGGTATTAATCTCTCGACTCAAGCCCGGAGTGGCACTGTGCTTGCTGGGCTCACCTGGAGATCAGGCTAACCTCAGGACTACTCTACATTTTCTTCTGGCTCTGGGAAGGGGAGGAGGGATAGCACCTGAGCAAGTGGCATAGCCTCATGCCATTGCTTTCCCTCCCATCTTGTCTCTGGAGCCACTCCAGGCCTTTCCCTTCTAAATGGATCTTTCTTGTTATTGCCTGCAAATATCCTTCCCATGCCCTTCCCATGCTCAGGCACAGCTGAGGAGCTGTTCTTGTCCCAATGTGGCTTTGCTCTTGCATGAGCCAAGTTTTCCACTCATTAGTTATTCACTGTGGGGCAAATTGGAGAAAGCAGATACCCTTGAGATATCCCTCCAAATGGCCTTCTCCCTGGGCAGCTTTCAATGTAATAAATCAAAACTACCCTTTCTTATTTGTGTTCACCATCTGACCTGGTAGCACTATAGAGAATTACATTTGCGTATGTTTAAATATAGCAGTGATTTTGTAGATTGATTTAGGCACCACTTGTTTTCCTTCCAAACGATTTTCTATTAAAAACCCCGGCTAGAATAACCCAGGTCTAGCCCTTCTGCAGTGTGGAGTTCCTGAGTCCTTACTGAGATGTTATTTCTGATTTTGCCTGCAGGATGGTACCAAAGTAGTAGGAAAATGTGGCGGTTACTGTGGGAAGTGTACTCCATCCTCTGGAACAGGCCTCGATGTTCAGGTGTTATAGCAATGGTGAGTTCCCTGCTGCTTCTGATGAAGGGAAACCTTCCCAAAAATGTCCTGAAGGACAAGATCAGGCCATGCTTGCAAAAACACATGTGCACTGAGTGCGTTGGGGACAGCCACCCACCCCACGCAGCATCCCAGGGGCATCCCCTGCTCCCCCAGTAACACTCACAGGTATAACACTGCCAACTGGAAACACACTGCCCATCCCACTGCCACCTGCTTTGCCTCCAGTCTTGTGCTGATCTCCCTAGCTATAGGTTCCAGAGGTGAAGATGATGATCTAACTCCAGTGTGCACCTTGTCTGTGTTTTCCAGGTTCTCTGGGAGCAGCCAGCGGAGATGAGACGGATGAAGGATAGCGATGCAATACCTCTGCCTTCCACTTGTTTATCTGTTTATGTGTGTATATAGATTGCATATTCTTAATGTACAGTATATTTATGTTTGGAATTATTTATTTTGATTTAATATTTTTGTACGTAAAATCATTATAATAATGCTGCTTTGACTATTTGTATTTTTTATTGTTAAATCCTGCAGTCAAACCACTGCATTTTGTGTACTCTACATTATATGTAGCATTATGACAAGCAATACTTTATTGTCACTGTATTCAGTTGTTTACTTTCAATCAGTAATTTTCCTTCAGTTATGTGCTGCTTTGGCCTTCCACGGTGCTACACAATCTGCATAGGGGTATTTTTGGCATTTCAATCTGTCTTTATGTAAGGAAAATAGACAAGATGTGCTTAAATTTTATTTTTAGGGATTAGGCCAACAGCACTCAAGGAAAACATGACAATGAATACAGTGCTAGTTGCATTAGAAATCTTTATCTTTTAGGTATGTTTTGAATTTCACATGACCTCTGTGGCCAGTGCTAAATGCACTGCTTTGGTGCTAACATGATATTTATTAATGCTCTGTAGTTTTAGTTAATCCAGTGCCTTTATCAGTGAAAAAGGGAAGAAAGCAGAATAATTGTCAGGCGATTCAAATCAATTAAGATGTACCCCAGGTTTAGGAAAATTCCTGCAGATGGATCTTCAGCTCAAGCCCCTTTTTCACAGGGCTCTGAAGTGAACTCACTTTTTTTAAAAAGACATATCTTTATCTCCTAATTGCATGTGCCGCTGTGCTTCCTGGCTCCATCTGGAAGCGGGGTATTAACTCATCCCAGACAGGCTGATCAGGCCATATGTTTCCCTGGGCATCACTGAGAAGTGATGCAGTTTTTTAGGGACTTGGGCATCAAATCCTAGTGTGAAGCTGAAAGCATCCCTGCCTTGTTCCCTCCCCACGGGGCCGTGAGGACCGTGGGGCTCACTGCAGGGGATGGAGGACAGCACACCCAGACTAGCCTCCCCTTCTCTTGGCCAGGGGACTCCACTGCAGACACCTGCAGCGTTTCCCCAGCTTCCTACTCACCCCCAGACCATCTGCAAAGGGAGGCTTCAGCGCCGGCGCTGCCTCCTTTCAACAAGATCACTCTGTTCTTACAGATGACTCTGCCCCCCCTTCAAAAACAAGCTGCTTTACGCCTACTTTGTATTGCTTCGGATCTTCCTGGTAAGGCATCTGCGCTCCTTGCCTCCCTGCCAGCCCATGTACAACCAGACCTTTAGCATTGGCTTTTTTTTAGTATAAACTGAAGAGCCATCTCCCCTGGGAGCCATGGCTCTTGCCTGTACACAGCCTGCAGCTTCGCAGCACGTTCAACAGGGGTGATGTGACCAGATTCTTTTTGTAGTCTATGACTATGTCCCTTATCTCTTTCTCCACAGTTTTGCTTAGTGATGTGGCTCGCCACACTTGCGCAGAGCTTCGCAGCACGTTCAACAGGGGTGATGTGACCAGATTCTTTTTGTAGTCTATGACTATGTCCCTTATCTCTTTCTCCACAGTTTTGCTTAGTGATAGGAAGATGCTGCCCTTTCACCTTAAATGTCAGGGCAGCCAGGAGCACAAAGTACAAGGAAAAGAGGCTTTTCAGCACAAAAGTGCCAGCAGTTTGGAAAACCAAAGAGGCTTATCTGCTACTCCAGATAACTCTTTCCACTTTGGATGCAAACAGTTAACAAGCATAACCTCAGGATCTTGTGTGAGTCTTTTACAGAGCTCCCCAAAGGATGTGTAATCAGTCTGTTACAAAACAGTTGGATCAATGGTGATAAACGATCTGATCCCTGGATTCATAGCCCATGTGTGTGCCAGGATGTGTTCAGCCTCTGGAGTGAAACCTGTCAGCCTGACAGTCAGGGATCACCACGTTCCTGTCAGCTGGGAGACATCTCACAGGCCAGCAGCAATGAACTGGTGAAAGAAAAGGGAAAAAGGGAAAGGG